TTAATATTAACTTAAGCATGCATGTTTTAGTATTAATAAGTGCTATAGTAATATATATTATTAAGTTTTTTTTTAAATAAGTAAACTAAAGTTTTATTCTTGCGCTTAAGTACTATTAAGTAATTATTATATTTTATTAGCCATGGGCCTAGGTAATTTATATATTATATAAGGTTTTTATAATTAGGGCTAATAAAACCTAGGTAGTTTAAAGTTATTATATTATATTATATATAATATATTATATAATTATACCACGCCGGGTAATAATATTTTTAATAGCTAGGGTTATATTAAAAAACTAGCTAATATTTTTTAATAAGCTTGTAGTACTTACTTTAATTAAATAATATAAAAGTCTTAGGCTATTTTAAAAAAATACTATTTATATAGTATATTTAGTACTAAGGTTAGGTTTATATTTTAAAAAAGCAAGCTTAATTAGCTTTAATTTAATTTAGGCCATAACCTTGTCCTAAATTAACTTAATAATATTTATTTTATTATTATTATATACCTTAATAGTGCTAGGCACCCCTTATACCATGTAGTTATACCATTTTCTAAAAAATATATATATTAATAATACTTAGGGTGTAATAAATTACGCTAATTACTTTATTAATTATAAAAAGATTTTTAATAAAAAAATTATTAGGGATAATAGCCTAGCCTATATAAATAATATTAATCCTAAAAATAATTATAGTTATAATTAATTTTAGTACATACTTAATAAGGGCCTGCTAAATAATATATATTTTTAGGCATGTTATTAGCTTATTATTAAAAAAAAGTAATTAATATTTTATAATTATTATATATTATTAAGGCTATAATAAAGCTATTATATATTAATTAGGTTACTAAGGCACCTAACTTAATAATTAAAAATGCCTTACCTAAGGTGGTATTAGTTAGGGTAAAAAAACCTGCTTTAAAAGGGGTAGGCTAAGCCCTTAAATTTTTAAGGGTTAAACTTATTTTTTCTTAGGTAATAATCTTACTAAAAGTTATTATAATAATAAGCTAATTATATATATAAAAAAATATAATTAATATTATTAATATTAGTATAGCCCTTTAAAAAAATAAAGTATATAAATTTATTATAAATATTATAAGTATAAGCTTTTTAGTTTTAAGTTTTTTACTTAATTATAAAGTTATTAATAATAATTATAAAATTTATTAAAATTTTATATTTAATATAGGGAATTGCTATTCTCACGGTAACTTTGCTAATCTTATGGTAATTAGCGCCCCCTGGCCGCGCTTGCTGCCGCCACTAGCTATATTTATACTAGCTTTATAACCTGCCACTTTATAGCTATAAACTAGGCCTAATTAATACTAGTAACCTTATAGCTAAGCTTAATATTATAAAAATATTTTTAAACTTTATAAAGTTATAATTTATATAAAATAAAAACTTAATATTATAAAGTTTAATTTTAATAAAATTTTATTTTTGGATTAGGTATTAAATACTAGTTTTATTTATTTATTTAATAATTTAAAAAATAAATCCCCTAGTAAGCCCTTTATTAATAAATATAACTTTAAAATTAAAAATTAATATAATAAAATTTTGGAGCTTAAAAATAGCTTTAAAAAGGTTTTTAATTTTATAAAAAAAGTAAAGGCTTATTTTAAGTTTTTTATAAAAATTAATAGCTTTATGGTCCTTAAATAAAACACTAGTAAGTATTTTAAATATTATAAAAAAATTAACTTTATTAATTTTAAATATTACCGCGGAGTAGTACCTATATTAAAAAAAAACCCTTTTTTTAAGTTTACTTTACCTTTAAAGTCTTAAAGCACTAGGTTCTATTAAATTAATTATTTATTTAAAGTTATTATTAGGTACTAAACCCTAATTATAGTACTTAAAGTTATTTATAGCTTTTATAATTATAAGTAAATTAAAAACTTTTTTATTTTTAATTAATATAAAAAGTATATTAAGGCTTATAAAAAAAAGATTTTTAGCCTTATATTTAGTAAAGCTAGCTACTATTTTTAATATATTATAAATTATTTAAAGTATATAAAGAAGCCTTGCCCTTTAAAAATTAAAAATTTTTATAATTTTTAAAATAAGTTTTAATATTAATTTTTAAATAATAAAATATTAACTAAAGCGCTTATTAACTAGCTGCCTTAATAAAAGGGTAGCTTTATAAAATATAAAATAAACTTTAAAAAAAAGCTAACTTACGCATTTTTAGCCTATTTAACCTTAATTAAATAATTTAAATAAAACCCCTTTATAATTATTATTAATTATACTTATAAAATAAACTAGTACCTTTTATTTTTTTATATAATTACTAAAGTTACCGCGTGTAATAAGACCTTTATTATTATATATAGTTTTATAAAAAATAAAACCAAGCTATTATATACTTAAATATTATAATAACTTTATAATTTTTATATATAAAAAGGCCTTAAAATACCCGGGGTTACTATTACTAATAAAAATAAGGCTTTTATTAAGGCACTTAGTGTTATTTTTTTTATAATTAATTAAATTCTTTATATTTAATATATTAATTAAAAAATCCTTAGCTAAGCAAAGCAGGTTATATTAATTATACTTTAAAATACCCTTAATTTAAATAATAAAAAATAAAGTTAAAAAGTTAATAAGTAGTAAATTATAATACTATAATTATAGTTTTAAGCTATATAATTTTTAATAAAAACTTTTTTTAAAAGCTAATAAAGGGCTTTTAAAAAAATATATAGGTAGCTTATATATAAAAATCTTTTATAATATATTAAAAAAAATAGCTTTAAAAGACACTAAAAAGTTTTTTTTTAGCTTATTATATTAATATTTATTTATACTTTAGCTAGCTATTAACCTTTTAGGTAAAGTTATTTTATTATTAATTAAAAAAAATTTAAAGTTATTTTAAAGCAAGCTAATTTATATAATAATTTTTATTAATAATATTATTAAGGCTTAAAATATAAAGGCTTAATATTAATATATTAATAATACTTTAAGGCCTTTGCCTTAATACAAGCATTTATTTTTTAAAAATATTATTATAAAGGTTTTTATATACGTCATATAAAAGGTAATTAAAATAATCAATTTTTATTTTTTAAAACGCCTTAATAAATTAATTAAGTATTATATAAGCACTTATAAGTAAAGCCTTAAACTTTTTTATATTTATTAAATTTAAAAAATACTTTATAATAATTAAAGCCTTGCCCTTAAGAAGTTTTATAACTAATAGCTTTTAATTTTAAAATCTTAACTTTTTATATATTTTTAATACCTTTATATTTATTTTTTATTAAAAAAATAATAAAAAAAGGCCTTAAGGGGCTTTAAATTAACTAAAAAACTTTATTAAATAAGATTTATTTAAGTTTAAATATATAAATTAACTAGTTAAAAAGGGGGGTAAAAAAAATATTAAAATTTTTTATTAAAGTAAGTATTTATAGTTAAGCGTAGCGCAGCGGAAAAAGTAAGAATTTAAAAATTTATATTTTAAATAATATATTTTTATTAATTAGTTTACGCGGCTACCTAAAAGTTAGAACTTGCCTATATTTAATTAAGTTTAAAATATTAATTTTTATATAAAAAATTAAAATTTAAGAATATTAATAATATTAATACGCGCTAAGTTTTCTGCCGGGCAGAATTAAAAGGCAGAGCCTAAATAGGCTTAGTAATAGCCTTTTTACTTACTAGTATAAATACGGCTAGCGGCCGCGCGAGCGCGGCCAGAGGGCGCTAATTACCATAAGAATAGGAAAGTTACCGTGAGAATAGCAATTCCCTTAATATATACTTAGTACTTTTACTTATTAAATTAATTATAAAGGGCTTTTATAACTAGGCTAGGCTAAAAAGTTAATATATTATTATTTTTAATAATAAAAAAAAAATAGGCTTACTAGGGCCCTTTTTTTTATTTTTTTATAATATAAAGGTTAAAAAAATAAAGGGTTTTATAGCCACGTGAAGTTAGCTAAGTTAATACTTATAAATTAATTAAAAATATATACCTTAGTTTTAGCTATCACACCGCGGGGAGTAATAAAAAAAAAAGGTTAAAAATAAAATTAGGATAATAAAAATATATATTTATAAGACTTTTAAAGTATCTAGAGCCCTTATTCAAAGGTACCCCTAGATTGCTAAGAGTTGTAAAGGTGCTATCCACCTTAGGAATTCCATGGGACGCACCGCGGAAGACCTTGCTCTGGAAAACGGCCATACAGAGATCCTTGACGCTCTACGCCAGAGAATGGTGGCGTGAAGGAATAGTTCTGCATCAGCTTTCATGTACTTCAATTCGCCAACTATATTCAACGATTCAATGAATTAATTCGTGTTTTTTCATGTAGGACGCTACATGGGTACCATAAGCGCTAGAAGATCATGGGACGGCATGCAAAGCGGTTATTATCAAGACGCAGCTGGGGTTGGCAACAGGGCAGGCGGATGGATGTTGTATCATCATAGTCCAATTTTTGTCAATCGCTGTTATATCTTTATCATGAAATGATGCTTTATGGTAGCCATATACTGGCAATAAGGGAATACAAAGTATTGTAGGTAGAGTATCACAAAAGACCACATATAGCATCCAACAACCTTCATCTAACATATGACAACAGGGCATTACCCCCTTGGCAGGCGAATCAATGCCATCTTCCATGGCTGACCAGATGTCGGTTTTGCTGGTGCTCAAGCTGAGCAAGGTTGTTTCCACAGCGTGAAAGCCGCTCGACAAAGAACTCTCCAGAGGCAGGAACAATGCGAAGGCTCTCGCTGATACAAAGGTCTTGGACTCGCGGTCTCTTTGTCTCCGTTGTTCCTTCCCCTAGTCACACATTGTCTGATCACACCTTCTGCCCACATAAATATCACGCTGACCCTCGAGCATCCAGGCATCTCCAACCACCCAGACTTCATCCTATCCTTTCATATCCACAAGCGGGTTTACAACTGAGCAAACATGTCTGCACGAAACCAATCCAAGGGACCTTGCGTCCAAAACCCCACCGCTCAACCACCACTATCCCGCCCTTCGACCCCCGGCCTCAGCGATCTCCCGCCCGAACTTATGGCAGAAATTGCAAGCAACCTTGACCTAATGGATCTCAAGAATCTCCGCCTCGTGAGTCACTACCTCAACGAAAGTACGAACTACGTGTTCGTGAAAGAGGCCTTCGAAACCCTGTGCACCGACTTCTCCACAAACTCGCTAGATAGGATACTCAACATCAGCGATCGGCCAGATATAGCCATCCACGTCAAACAGCTACACATCTGGATCCCCTTCATCAGCTTGGCCATACTCACCCAAGGCCGCTTTACCGACGGCGGGTTGCCATGGCGCCGCGACTATGACATTGGACGTCTAGTCTTTCCCCAGCGCAAGGCTCGGCTCTGGGAAGATGCGCTCGCGGGTTTGGTCAACTGCTCGTGCTTTCGCCTGGAGCGCCCACGGAGCAGGTCTGCATTTGACGACGAAAACCATATCCTTAGCCTCACTGATAACCATGTGATCATGATGAATCTGCTTGCCAGTGGACGTGTCGGAGTCGAGAAGTATAGCCTCAACTGGGTGCGAGGTGACGGGAAAGTCTACAAGCATTGGCTTCGTATGTACGAGCTGGACAGAAGACATCTCGGCAGCCCTACCTTTGCTAAGGCCTGGGCCAACTTACGCGAGTTTACACATAACATGGAGAGGGACTGTGAAGCCGAGGCTGAATACATCGTTGACCTCCTTAGCCTGGCTCCCAAGCTGCAGTCTCTGGACCTTGGGCTTCCCAGCAAGGAAGCCGAGGCCACTGATATAGTCATCGCGCGTCTAGGGTCCAGCAAGATCCCATTCCGGCTGCAGAAGCTGTCGCTCAGGCGCGGCATCTGCAGTTTCGAACACGCCCTGTCTAAACTGCTAAAGTGTCATTCTGCGACGCTGACCTCGTTGAAGCTGGAAGATCTCTGTCTCACGGGCGACGCACTTCTGGGCGTGTTCCAGTTCTTCCACGAACACCGGTTCCCTGCGGTGGAGGACTTCAATTTCAATGGTCTAGCGGACAGGGGAGGACCGGATGGCGCAACTCGGGTGGTCCGTTTGACCACCTTCACGCAGGGTTACGCAAAGCGCATCATTGAGCGGACCGGAGGCTTGCTTGTTTATTATCCTCAGCCTGGACCTAGAGCCATTCTCTACTACAGTGGTCCTGGAGGGGGGGAGGTGTTGGCATCTCTCCATGAGCAAGTAGCAATGAGGCCGTAAGGTTCAGGTTGGCCCTTTCCAGCATTCCATGAAGCATTTTGAATATTCAGTCTTTTTTATACAATGCGGTCACCTGAAACCGTTATAGTTAAATAATAAAATCTAGAGCGCTAGTTCCAATACACACAATTTCTTGAGCCTTCTCTCCCTGTCCTCTCGAATGAGTCTGGGCCCTCAAAGGTTATAGAATAGGCTCCCTAGGTAATGACTATCCAAATAGAATCCATAGACCAAACCCTTGCCTTGCCTTGCTTAGACTTTCACAGCATGCTAATTCTCTGCCGCCTAGCATAGTGCGCCTTCCTTCCAAAGACGTCTGCACTATGACAGCACCTGCACTTCTTTCAGGACATTTTGATAAACCCATCGCACCAATCACAAGCAGAAAGTATAGTAATATAGCCAAGTGCTCACTGGCTCCCTCTCTGCATCTTAACTAGATTACGCGGATATTATGGTCCACGGTTGAATTACACAAGGCTGAAAGCATTTCCACCTGACGGAGATCTGCAAACGCTAGGTATCATGGTCTCAGGGTTACAAGGTTAAAGGGTTCTGGATCGTGATGCGATACCCTAGTGCGTGACGTCCTGTCGAATGTTGGAGGCCTTTGATAGGTGCTACTATTGTCGCGGTCAATGTTACTGGACCTTAAGTAGGAATGATTGAGCTGGGCCTTTTTGTTTAATAAAGTTATCCCTTGACATTACTTGACATTGTCATGAAGTTGTAGCATGGACCACTCACTTTAGTAGGTTCCGGCATGGTGTGAGTATAAGAATTGGACGAATATAGATATAACCGCTCAACTAAGAAAGCTTCTTGCTGACTTTGCAATTCTCAAACGGTTGTCTCTTGCTCCTGCATATATGTTGTTATTCAGACTTAGAAACAGGCTGTGGCCACATGCACTAACTCTTAACCCTGAGGCTCTCAGTACGCAAACAGAAGGGCCCTTCCAAGACACCTTGCAAACAGAAGATACCTGGACAAACAAAAGAAATGCACTAATAAACTAGCCATGTAGCCTACCATGTGTCCATCCATGACTATGGCATATTGGCAATGTGGCCCTTACTGTGAGGCCTCAGTGCTGGCCTCTAAACCTCCTCCCATAATCCTAGTGGGTGAATTATCTTTTTATTCACTGGAAGCTCGAGCCATGTTTGGCCGCTTTGAAAGGGAAAAAGTGGAGAAACAGTAGAGTTCTGCACCGCAAATATTCATATAGCTCTTTATTCACTGGGCTCCTGTTTGCACTTCACTTTGAGTCACATACTCCTGGTCTTCCCTTGGGCGAGAATAAATATCGCCTTACCCCCGGGCAACTTAGACTTCTGCAACCACCTACCCGACACTACCCCTCTTCCTGTTCTCCAACCCAATCGAAATTGCGAAGCCAAGTCCATCAACTCGCAACAATGTCTCTATCCCAAGGCCAAGTCCAGGGATCCTGCACCCAGAAACCCATCCCTCAACACCTACCGCTCAATCGTCCACGCCCCAACCTCGACAGCCTCCCAGCTGAAATACTAGGACAGATTGCGAGCGAAGTCCGGCCTGCAACAGAATTGGCTGAGCTGCGCCTTATCAACCGACATGTCAGCAAGAGCTTTACCTACGAATGGGCCAAGCGAACTTTCGAACAGGTAGAGACAGATCTCTCGTCCAAGTCCCTGGAGAGACTGGACATTATCAGCACCAATCCAGACTTCGCCGTCCACGTGAAGCACATCAAAGTTGCCTGGCACCAGTCGGAAGAAATTGACGTTGACCGCGGCCAGGTCTTTGGATCTCGGCTTCGCTGGCGCCGGGACAGCTCGGGGGGTCTTGTCTTCCCACAGCCTACAGCGCAGCGCTGGGAAGACGTATTCGCACGGTTCACCAATTGTGTGTCCTTTTCCATAGAACGCCCATTTGATTCGCAGGGCTACGCAGACTTGGATGGGGAATACTGGGAGCCGCGTGGTCTGTTGCTCATGGACCTGCACATGTTCATGATGAACATGTTCTCCAGTGGCCGGGTGGTGGTCGAGAAATACGAGGTCGACTGGCGCACCGATAAGTCGGGGTATGATGATGCCGAGCCCTTCGACATCAACGCCCCGGGCGTGAACACCGCACATCTTCGGAATCCCAGCTTCGCGGCGGCCTGGGGGAACATTCGCAGCCTTGACCTACACCTCGGGGATGTCACACCGGGCGGAGGCCAATATATAGTCGAACTGCTCAACCTTGCGCCCAAGCTGGAATCTCTGACGCTCGATATCGAAGAGAGCGAGGACGGCAAGGAAGCAGCAGTGATACTTGAGAGCCTTGGGTCTGCGGATTGTCCATTCCAGCTCAAATCGCTGCGTGTCGAAGAGGCCCGGCTTGCTGGATCTGAAGATGATCTACATATGGCATTGGCACGTCATCGCTCGACCCTTACCAGCATGGAGCTGGTCTCGATCCACCTAGGTGCAGATGGGATTCGCTCTCTGTTTGACTTCTTCTTCTTTTACAAGCTCCCCGTTCTATCGGAATTCCTGCTTAACAATGTACAAGACTGGGAAGAGGTCGGGAGCAGCCGCGAGCCCCGCCTCCTCATTTTCCCCCAACTGCACACAGAGCTCTCTGGACATCGACTATTCGAGCAAAACCTGGACGATCACAGCTACGTTGACCCGTGTCGGATGTTCTATTACTTTGGACCTAAAGGGAGCGAGGCTCTGACGTTCCTGAGCCGTGAATACCACTTTGGAGCCAGCGGGTCCGTGTAGTGGTAGAAATGATTGTGGAGGGGAGGCGGGAATGAAAGCTGGATCAGGTTAAATCGTCTATTGGATGCACTTATCCACGTGTTTTGTTCGACGTTTTTTTTCTCTTACAATTCAAATGGAACTTGCTATACTTAAGTGGGTTATCAGCACGTGCACAGAGCAAGGCATAGGCCAGCCTGATGGAGAGCTCATTATTCAATGTATCTAGCTGCGAATAGCTTGTTTCTAGCTATCTACAGGACCCAGTGCTGTCTCTACAATTTATTATTTTAAAGCCTTTAATACTCTTCACGTCTTCATTACCTCATAATACTACATGGTTCACGTAAAAATAACATCTTCCATTCTGTAAAGTCGCACTTTGCTGCTAATCTTCCAATGTTACCATACCTAGGTATATACCCCCTGCGCCCCTACCCTACTTTGGGCATCATGAGGAAAGCTCCAGCTCCTGTGATTGAACCGCAACCTTTTTGAAACTGTTTGTCGAGTATGTACTATGTTCTAGGGGATTCGAAAATAAAGTGTAGTGAGCTTATTTCAGTTTCTTTGACCGGGCTTCGCTCCGAGACAGTTTCATTTGAAAGGCTTAATCGAGTCCCAAGATCTAGTCTGCGACAATACTTACCGTTTCCATTATGTTTATTTTTACTAAATACCTGGGGGTGGTATTCGAGATTATGCCTTGAAAGCCTCTCAAGAGGTCTCTACCTCTAAACACAACCCTACATGTAAGATTCCAACCCTACCTTGGAGACTTGGTCTTCCTAGCCTTCCAACCTTGGAAAGAGACCGTGAGTACTTTACAAGGCAAACTATATTCAATCACTACCAAGATACTAACTTGTCCTTCCAGGTACTCGGTAGTTGTACTACCACTTCAATCAATCGGCCCGTCCATGAAGTCGATTTACACTGTCAACAAAGGCCGAAGTAGCTCATTTGCTTTCATGTTTTAAGGCAGATAAAGGGCGCACCTACCAGTGTAAAACGAGATAAAATAGAAAGCCTTGAAGCTGGACTCGCAGGCAGGGGTGCACAAAGACTACCATAGTTTTAGGGCAATGTTAATAGTTTCAGGTTATCTTTGTACATACACTCAGTGACCTCTACACTTCGGCTTAAAGACTATGGTACCGACCATGTTTCCAATGTTTGATAGTTTCAAATTGTCTATATGCATAATCCCAAAACTATTTACACTTTCAAGGTTTGGTCAAAGACTACCTACCATATCTAATATCAATGGTTTCATGCATTGTAACCTCTGCAATGGGTACACTTAGGCCTGAAGACTACCATATTTGCAACATTGCATCGTTTCAGATTACATTTATGAATGCCCTTTACACTCCGGTTTCTGTTATAGACAGTAGATCCACATGATCCTCCTCCCTTTCATGGAGACAGATATATATACATGATCCCCGCAGCAACCCAAGCCAACCATAAGAACATCAACTTTAGTTTCAGCATCTCAAGCCAACTTTACCTACCACAGGAACATCATCCAGTCTTAACCAACTCGCCACCATGGATTCCCTCAAAACCCTGCTTAAGGGAATGACCCTCTCTACGACTCGCAGTGCTCCAGAGCCTCCCAACCCCAATCGACCCACCGGTCTCCTGGATCTACCCCCCGAGCTAATCGACATGATAGCGTCCTACCTGGAAACGGACTGGATCGGAGATTTTGAGTTGGAGCAATTCCACGAAGTATGCCGGTACATCTACCAAGCTACCTTCTATCAGTTCTGCCGCCGCAAGTTCGAAACAATCCGCGTCGACTTCTCCGTCGCCTCGTGGCGGCACATCAACAGGATCATCAACCGCCCCGACATCGCCCCCCACGTCAAGGCCCTGAACATCTACACGTCACGCAACTCCAACTCGCCTCTGTGCTTCGGCGGCGGCGTTGAGTGGCCCCGTTCCCGCGGTGGACGCCTAAATACCAAAAGCAAAGCGGTTACCCGCTGGCACGATGCGTTCGCAAAACTGCCGAACCTTTCCTCGTTCACCATCAGGCGCCCGTTCAACGACTTCTCTCCCGACGAGACGGACGCCGAGTCCGATGATGACGAGTACGGCCCGCTCACCCTTACCGACCTGCATGTGCTCATGATGAGCGTGTTTGCCACCGGGCGCGTAAAGGTCGAGGCGTACAAGCTCGCCTGGCACCAGATCGGGGGAGTCGGGTTTCGCACATTGCGGTCGTTGGAGATGAAGTACATCGACACAGCCAGCAGTTCCAGCCATCTCCGACACCCGTCGTTCATTCAGGCCTGGGCCAACATTCGATCCTTCAGCTACGACGCTGCCATTGCTTCAACCGCCGAGGCTGCATACCTGATCCAGCTGCTGAAGCTCGCTCCGAACCTCGAGTCGTTGTACTTCAACTTTGACCGCGATGAAGAATACGCACCGGCAGTGATTGACAGCTTAGCAGATGAGTCTGAGGAAGGGTTCGGGTTCCGGCTGAAATCGCTCAAGTTCAAAAACACGGGTTTCCACAGCCCGAGCGTTCTTCCCGCGATCCTACGGCGCCACCGCTTGAGCCTCGAGCGCTTGGTCTTGGAGGAAATCTCCTTCGAGGGGGACGGTATAACGCGTCTGCTTGCTGTCTCCAAAGAGTTTGAGAAAGCTGGACTGCCTGCGCTCACCTACTTCTTCTTCAACGCGATCCGTGACAAGGGCGGAGACAATATCCAAGGCCCGTATAGAGGCCTTATTGTTCCGAAATACGGGAAGAAGACAGTTAAGAAGATGGACAAGGAGACCCCGGGAGACTTCTGTTACTTTCTCAATGGCTTTTTGTTTCCAGGTACGTCGTATCTGCGGTATGAGGGTCCTCAGGCGAACTTCGTACTCCGGCAGCTGCGCCACATTGCAGGCTACAGTTTGCGACGGTGGTAGAGGATCTTTCTCCGAGGACTTCTGTACAGTGTTTGCGTTTTGATTACTTGTTGTCTTTGCTGGTTTATAGGATGGTGCATAGTTAGTTTATACTTTGAAAATTCATGTATACATGTGATATATATGTGCAGTAGATTCCCCAGATACAGACCGCAGCCATACCTACCTGCTTACCATAGTCTGATAGCCAGCTGTAGTATTGCTATGAGTTACCCAATCCAGTTGTGACTGGTTTCACTTCCTGCGCAATCTGATAACGACTATTAGTTAAACTATTCTTTTACATTTCCCTGACCTTTTTTTATTTTTATAATAATGTGCTGATGCTTGCACTGCGGTGCAATGCAAAATCATGTATGCAGCTTGTCTATGTCAATGATCATTTGCATGGAATAACCATTTAAAACATGGGCAACTCGAAGGGATTCATTCACCTCTACCTGCATTCTTTTGACTGGGTCAAGTAAGAGGCTCACAAGGATGAAACGGTTTAATGGCAGCTTTATAGGCCTTATAGCATACCCAAAAAGAGTTACGAAGAATGCTTCCAGCCATGGGACTCGAAGGTTTCATGTCATCTTTGTGGCCACATAATGCATGTGTCAAGAAGCCATGTATCTGAAACATCCCTTGTAGCCTCTCAGTGGGACACATCATGACGCTTTTTCGCATTGTTATATGTACGGCTACATAAACCTACCATAGGTATGATACCCTTGCAACCTAGATTGACATTGACTCAACCCTAATCAACAAACCTTTGGAACACAAGCAACACCTTCAACATGGAATCTCTACAAGACCAACTCGATAACACCAGCCTTCGCCCCACCGGCATACTTGACCTTCCCCCCGAGCTGATGAGCATAATCGCATCTGACCTAGAAGTGTGTGATCTCAGATCCCTCCGCCTGGCCAGCATGTATCTCAACAACAGCACCTTCTATATATTTTCTCGCCGCGCGTTCAAAGAATTGCGCATAGACTTCTCTGCCGCCTCGTGGCATAAGATCAGCAATGTTATCAACCGGCCCGACCTAATCCCCCTCGTGGAGTCCCTGGTAGTGCAAGAATCACCCCGCGGGTCCCGGCCGAGGACCAGCCCGGTGGCTCTAAATGAGGTGGTTTTCGGCGCCGGGTTTGAATGGGCGCGCGACTCTTCTGGAACTCTGAATCACGCGCAGGACCTGGTGCAGATTTGGCAGAGTGCGCTCGCGCGCCTGGTCGAAGCCAACTGCAAGTCCTTTAGCATCAATCGCCGCGAACAATCAAGGACTGTCGGCGACGAGGACGAGGAAGGCCGATATCTCCATCTGACTGACCTGCACTCGCTCCTGATGGTGGCATTCGCCAGCGCGCGTTGCAGCGCAGGCACAGGGATGGAGAGATACGAGATCTGCTGGGGCAGGTATTGCACAGCCGCCGAATGGTGGAGTGAAGGCGGGTGGCTTGACGATGGCAAGCTCGACATGAGCCACATGGCGTCTTCCCAATTCAAGGACGCCTGGTCCGGCATCCGCGAACTGCGACTGAATATCGAATTGGGATACTTTAGTGATGGAGCGCGGAAGTACTTGATCTCACTGCTGAAGCTGGCGCCGAATCTGGAGACGTTGTACTTCGACTTCGTGCACGGGGAATGCGCAACGTTATTCATCAAGCGCCTGGGCTGGGCCACGGTCAAAGGCGAGGTCCAGTTTCGGCTCAAGTCGCTGCATTTTTCTAACGCCAGGATGGGGCACTCTGATATCCATATTGGACCTGCATTTCTGACCTTGTTGCGGAGGCATCGGGAAACCCTGCAGCACTTGACCCTTAAACACATACGCCTGGGGCCAGAGGGGCTACCTAGCTTGATCAACTTTTTCAGGGACGAGAAACTCAGAGTAGTGAAGTACTTCCATTTTGATTCTCTGGGAGATTTCAGGGGGAGTGATGGCAGGAAACGGGGACTCAGGTTTCCAGTCCTGGACGAGGGCGTCAGGACCTATAGGCGTCCGATTCCCCCGAGTGCTGGTGTGGGCTGGTATAGCTACAGGGAGCACTATGATTACCGTATAGGTACCTGTGAACTTGAGCTCTCTGGTTCCAGAGCGGGCAGGTTACTTCGTGGTCTCCATCGTCACGCCTCGTACGATAACTGGAGCGACGGGTTTTAGATTAGGTATTGCCTAGGTAAGTTAGGCAGATACTTCCAATAGGTCTGTGTGGTCTCAGCCTTTTATCTGCCAGGGGGTGGTTAAATTCCAAATGTTGGCGGATTTGCCTTAAGCCGGCCATGGACGGATTGACCAATCTGACAACATCTGCCAGCAGTAGTGACGTTGTCAGGTGTTTGCTGGTATGGTTCATCTTGATGTAGATAATGGAAATGGCATGGTGAAATTATCCAATATCAGGGTTTGAGATAGGGAACGGCCTCTTCTATGCTTGAAACATGTTTAGCTATGGTGTCTCGATTTTCCGCTTTAAGATTACGTCCATTGTGCTTTTAAACATCACATAGAATACTTCTTTATACAATTTAGCTACATAACACACCTTTAACACAGCATGCACACCCTGGGTCCTTGTACGTACCATAAAACCTGTGGGCCTGAGGATATATAGCCTAGACACATTGCAAAACAATACCGCACTCCTAAGATCCCATTGTAAGCACAATAATAGTCTATGCTGCTGGGGGTGACTCTGGTACAGAGTACCCAGGTGAGAGTGGGAGTAATTAAAGTGCGCAGAAACCCGGCATGATACTGATGTTTGGGCCAGTTCGTCCTTGCACTCTTCACACCTACACAATGTCCATGGGTGGTTACATCGCCGGAATAGAGGCGGCCGTATCATTCCTGTTGGCCTTGAAACATGATGCTTTGGCAAGAGTTCGCAATCAAAGAACACACCTTCGGATTCACCCATTAGATGATTTCTTCAGTACCATGGTCTCAGATTTCCAAAGAAACGGTAGTAAGGTATGGCAATGGAATCTTGTGTAATGCTGTGTAAAGAGTACCTCCGCCTTTCAAGCGTTTCAAGGTACCATATCTTTGTGCTCATGTCTGATAAAGGGTTGGAGCCTAGAATCTAATATAAAACTGTTTGAAAGAGGGCATCTGCCTTGCAAGGGTTTCAACGTACCTTGAAAGAGGAATTCAGCATTTCTACACAGCCTTTCAAGCGTTTCAAGGTATCTTTGTGCGCAAGACTGACACAGGTTCGGAGCCTGAAAAAACCCTTAGCCTGAAAAAACCCTTGCCGCAATGATACCGCTCCCTTTTTATATTATCATTTGCCCCTTTGTGTTGTCCATTGTATATAATGACACTTGCTGCCACAAACTGAAACTCGAAACCGGACTCGAAATAGATTGCAATGAACCAACCTTGCACCACGGAAACTAACTCATCCATCACAATGGAATCACTACAATCCATGTTAGAAACCACAAGCCTTTCCAAAGGCTCTCCGGATCATCGCCCTGCTAGCCCTGCGAACCGTGCTAACATCTGTGACCTCCCCCCAGAACTCATCGAGGAGATCACGACGCATCTAGAAATAAGGCACATCACGCGCCTGCGCCGTGTCTGCCGGTACCTCAACGAAGCAACATTCCGCTCTTTTGTTAGAGGGTTTTCCAAGCTAAGAACGGACCTCTCATATAAGTCCTGCAAGGAGTTTGAAGCCTTAACCCAGAACCAGCTTCTGGCTAACCAAATCAAACACCTGCACATCACGGCGAAGTCCATTTTCTCCACAGAGACCAGCCCAAAGACTGGCCATATTCGTTTCGGGGCCGGCTTTGACTGGCTTCGTGACGGCGATGGTCTTATAATCCCCGATCAAGAAGGCATGGCCCGCTGGGAGACCGTGCTGAAAGATTTACCCAACTGCAAGACCATTACGCTCGAGCGCGCCTTCCGCGCTCCTCAGCATATCCCTTGCACTGATTCTGATGTTAACACTGATGACGAGGGCGATTTCATTGCTGACGTTGAATCCACCGAAGAGCAGGCAGACGAATACCCAGCCCTAACGCACACCGAAGTCCACCTCTTCATCCTAGCCATGATCGCCAAGGGCGCGCTTCAACCAGAGGAATACGAGCTGAACTTCGGCCGCCGCCTGCAGGGGCCCCTTTTAGGCCCCCCATTCGAAATCGAACCCGCCCATCAATATGACTACTACTACCACCGGGACTTCCGACGGGCATGGAGGAAGAATCTGTCCAGCCTCCACTTCACAGCGAGTCTCAAATCCACCGCCGCGGTGAATCACCTACGGGTGCTGGTGGCGCTGGCACATCGCCTGAAGTCCCTAACCCTGGACTTCAACTTCGATAGCGACGCCGACCACAGCACGAGCGTGGTTCGCCTTCTCAGCGATGAGAGGTTGGCCTCGCACTTCCGCCTGAAGTCGCTCGAACTGCGCCACGGGAAGCTGTACCCAGGCTCCCACGGCCAATGGGTCGTTCATGCGATGGCCAGGCATCGTGGCACTCTTGAGCACTTTGGTCTGCGCGATATGTGTCTCTCGGACGGTATCCCTAAGATAATCCTGAGAGACTTGGCTAATAATGTGTATGAGAAGCTCAAGTCGTTCAGGCTTGACCAGGTCTGTGTGACTTATCCTGAGGCACCCTTGTACGGCCGGCAGCGGATGGGTCTTTACTTCCGTGACCTTGAACAGGGATCTCGCGTTGATGAGGAGACGAAAGGGACGTTGGAGTACCGCTTCCATCCGAAGGGTGGGAGTTGGCCACATCGTCCCTATGGATTGCCATGTCCAACGTCGCTCGTGGCGTATACTGGGCCGGGGGTGAGTCAGATTGCGAAAAGGCTGTATGATTTGAGGCAGTATCAGCGTTAGGTAGGGTCTGCCCGTTACCTAGATTATCTTTGTTGGGTATCATGGGCAGGTAGGCCACATTGTTCTCTTGAGCTTTTCTGTTCATTCCTGGGTGTTGCTTTTGGTTTTATGTTGAATAGCAGCTTAGATAAACATAATTAGTGGGATTAATGAAAAGGTTTAAAATACCAAATGCTATAGTTCTTGTATTATCAGTAATCCGCACGCGCTAATCTCTTGCTATCATAGCAGAGAGGCCTTTGCGTGCAGTGCAAGTATAAGCTGCTACATGCACATATAATGGAGCACACAGCTGATACCAGTCAGTCGGAATAGGGGTCCACAAATACGCTTAGAATATGGCGTTATTTTCTATTGTCCTAGGTAATATATATTATATTTTAACAGTATAAAATAGTATAAGAATAGCCAAAATAAATTAGGTAGGGCATTAAATATTTTAGCCTAATATATATTCGCTATAATATATATTAAGAATGAATATAAAATTATTATTAAAAAATAAAAATTAGAATTGAAGTTACATTATTATTCCCTAATTAAATAATAAAATAAATAAAATAAATAAAATAAATAAAATAAATAAAATAAATAAAATAAATAAAA